AGGTACAACTGACGGTGAATCAACTATAAAACAACCATCCAACTCTACCCAATTAACTAATGTTAAAACTGTGTCATTGAATCAATGTTGTTTTGTGGTTGAAATCTAATGAATGAAATGCCTATGTCTGATCAACACCTGATCAATGTTGAATCAATGTATGCTGTTTTGCCGCACCCCTTCCCCTCCTCTCCTCCTCATCAGTGCTCTGGGTCAAAGCATTTTATTAGTGAGCAGGAGTTATCACATTTTAAAGGGGTGTGTGTGTGTGTCTTTGGCGGTTGGAAGGAGAGGGGTTGGGCATCTGAATGGTGGGTGGTGGTGGTGGAGGGGTGCGTAAAACAGCTTACATTGATTGAGCATTTAGATTACTTGTTCTTCCTCAAACCTTATCCTCAAGGCAAACTAACCAAAAACCCTGTTCATCAGACGTCAATTAAAATGATGTGTGCTGAATTAGGGAAATGCCTAAAATTTGCAGGGCAGAGTGCTTGGAGGACCGGTGCTGAAAAATACTGGATTCGATGTGGCATTTCAGTCAATAGATGTTAATTGGCTAGAATTGAATGGTTGTTTTATAGTTGATCCACCATCAGTTGTCGACCTCAACCAAACATGCAACCTTTGTGATGATAATTCAACATTGAATTAACATATTTTCCAACAAGCCAACAGCGAAGCAGCTGTGTGTTTGGGACATCCCACTCATGTAAACGGTGGGGATGGACCCCTCCACTCCTTTTAGAAGTTGTAGATGTTTTTGTGTCAATATATCACACACACACAGTCAGTGAGAATTGTTATGAAAAAGTAAGAAAATGGACAGAAAGGAATCACCACCGACTATCCTCTACAGTGCTTAATTTAAATGTGATAACCCCCGCTCAGTAATAAAATGCTCTGACCTCTGGGTCAGCGCTGATGAGGAGGAGAGGAGGGGAAGGGGTGCGGCAATACATCTGACAATAATTCAATATTGATCAGATGTTGATCAGACATCAGCATTTCAGTCATTAGATTTCAACCACAAAACATTGATTCAATGACACAGTTTCAACATTGGTTACTTGGCTAGAGGTGGATGGTTGTTTGATAGTTGAACCGCCGTCATTTGTCGTCTTCAACCAAAAATCAACCATTAATCAGACTTCGGCATTTCAGTCATCAGATTTCAACGACAAAACAAAATTGATTCAATGACACAGTTTCTACGGTTTGACTGCATGGTTGTTTGATGGTTGATCCACTTCAACCAAAAATCAACGATTCTAACTATAATTCAACGTTGATTTAACGTCGTGTGCTTTCTACCTACCAACTTTGTGTTACTGCCAAAGTCAAACCAAAACTTACCAATGGGTAGAAATTTAAAACTAACAGCTTTATGTCCTTGGTCTTAACCTTTTTCAAGGAGTTTTTGCATACATCCACCATTATAGCAGAACACTTAATCAAAGGCACTGCTAGGATTTGAACCCAGGATCTCCTGTTTACTAGACAGGCGCGTTGACCAACTAACCTACAGCGCCTTGTAAATAGTAAAATGACCATTTCTCTAAATGTCAGATGATGTGTGAAACAAATTTTAAAATAAATACATGATGAACACCAATGGTAATTTTTTTCAGGTTTTTGAATCCAGGATCTTCTTTTGACAAGCAAGCCAGGTGTTAACTGCCACCTTTGTGTAGGAAAGAGCTTTACCATGCAATTTCTGGTAAGCTTCATAGTGCAGCTTTCCATACCATACCAACTTTATTTATAAAGCACTTTAAAACAACCACAGCTGATACAAAGTGCTGT